ATTTTTTCTCGTTTGTGGGGATTCAGCCTACTCCTGAAAAAGGATCAATAATGCTATATCCAAATTAGTAAAAACTACGTATTTACAAATAACCCAAAAGTAAACAATGATACATGTGATTAGCTAGTATAAGTTATAAAACATTAATAATCTATTATTTAGAATGAAAACATATATGATTCAGATATGGAAATAGATAACTTTTTAGCAGATTCTGAGTCTGTTTTTAAGGAAAATGAATCATTTCAACTAGAATTTGATGAAATTGATCTAGAAGATTATAATAGTGCTTCATTTGATGATGCTTATCATGATTTATAATATCCAGAAACTGTCAAATAGCCAAACGATACTTATCGAGATTTTATAGGAATAATTAATAAATACTATCTATCTAATTTGCTAGCGATAATATTATAAAATTTTTTAATAAATATTCTAACTTGGATGTTTCACCACTGCCTTCAACAACAAAGATTGGAAAGGAATTTCTGAATAATTCAACTATTACTTACATAGAGTTTAAAGAAGTTCTTATCACAACAATTCAAGGCGTTAAGTATACATTTTACTATCGATCATTGATTAAGGCAATAAAGTCTTTATTAATGATCGATAGTATTAATAAAGCATTGGTACTTTACTTTGAAGATAAAAGAGAAATAAATAATATAGAGTCTTCTATTTTCGAGGAGCAATATAATTCTAACTAGTAGAAACGAGAAGAATCATTATTACTTATTAGGCAACGATTACTATCGATAATCATCTACACTGATATAACAAACTTAGACCATATGGGAAAGTCTTCTGAACATCCCATATTTTTATCTCTAGGTAACATTCCTAACTCCTAGTGAAATAAGCCAGAATCTAAAGCTTTAATCAGGTATTTACCTATCTTAAGAGCTAAAGATTCCAAAACAAAAGACTCAGAAGAATTTCGAAAACTACAAAGAGAAGTTTTTCATACATATCTAAAGATTCTATTCAAGCCTATTGTGGAAGGTCCAGAGCTTAATTTTGTTATTCGTAGTGACATAATCACATTTATATCATGAATTTCAATGATTATAGCTGATTTACTTGAAGCAAATAAGATGGCTAATACTTACTAGCTATCTACATCAAATAAACCTTGTTATTCTTGTTTAATATCAAGAGATGACTTGAATAATATAAAATTAACTAGAATATCACCTAGGATACCTTATAATATGAAAGAAGCAATTGATAATAGTAATAAATATTATTATTCGATTCATCCTGAAATAAACGCATTTTGGAATATAAGGTATGTATATTAATAACTAATTAGTATTAATTAATAAAGAAATATAAATTATAAAATTTTAGGAATTTCAATATATACGAAGTTATCATTCCTGATCGAATGCATATATTGGATCTTGGTTTCTTTAAATATATGCTAGAATATATCAAAAAGCTTTTATATGAGCAATGCAGGGTTATGTGTTTCAAACTTTTAAACAATGATTAACATCAATTTCTAGATATCATAGCTTTAAAATAATAAAGAATATGTTAGATATAACATGTTTAACAGCAGAAAAATTGTAAAATTTAATGAAAATAGTAATTTTCGCACTTGATAATCTATATGATAAGTATAAAAAGCCTAGTGTTAGTAATTATAAGTTATGTCAAGTATATTACAAATTCTTTCAAATATATATTGCCACTCAAGAGGAATCGTTTACTAATGAGACTTGTAATCAGCTTCAGGTATAAGCAAATATTTAGCTTTTTTTCAATTGCTTTGATTACTAACAACTAATTTCATAGATATTAATAATGGATTGGGTCCAAGAATTTATTGAAATATTTTCTAAATATTCGCAAAGTGGTCTTAAACTTCCAAAACTTCATTCTTGGTGCTATCATTTAGTACCCAAAATAAAAGAATACAGGTCAATAAATAGTATGACAACAAAAACCTATAAGACTCTTCATAAGAGTTACGTTAAAAATCCTTATTGCATGTCTAATAAAAAGGATTATATGAAGCAAATATTAAAAACGGTAAGCCATAACAATAAATTACCTTTAAAATTATCACTAACTATCGATTGCTTTTTAGGTTAAGCGATATAAGTTAACTGAAAGCGAAGCACTCAAGAAATACTGAAAATCTAAAGGTTTGAGAGACCTTTGTAGAAGTTTAATCTAGAAGATTTAGATCAATTTATTCAAAAAAATATAAATGAGTTAGACCTATTACAGGTCGATAGTTTTCATAAGCTGCTAGACAGTCTTGACGAATTTTTTGAAGAGGAATCACTAATGTCTATTAATGATGACAATCGATTAGAATTTTTTTCTTCTGCAGTATTAGAAAGTACTGATATAATTCATGCTTCATCTAGTTTTCATAGTAGGCCGATATTCTCTAATGTTATTATTAGTGGTGAAGTTGAAGGAATAAATATAAATTGGTATGGTTTGATAAGATCAAATTTTTTAATATTATTATGTTTTTCATGATATACTAAATAATATCGATAATAAGCGATATATACTGTAAGCTAGGAACTTACTTTCTAGCTTATTACTGTATATAATTTGATATTGATTTTTTTTTTTTTATTAAAGATGCTGCAAATATTTAAGTTTTACTCAGCTTTAGATAAAGAACCGCTTGAATTTGCTCATGTTCATTGGTATGAGGAAGATAGTGAATTATGGGGTTGTTCAAAATTAAGATTAGTTAACCAATATAGTTGTATACCGATAGATAGCATTGATAAAACTGTACACATAGTTCCAAGGTTTGGAAAAACAAACGAATATTTAATAAATAGTTATATGTTCTAAAAATTTAAGGAGTATATTATAAAATTAAGTGTATAAAGTAGAGGGCAATAACTATATATGTATATGTATTACATACACAAATAATATAATTCTTTATCTAAAAAAAGCAAGTTACTGCGTGTTTATACAACTTTTACATATTGATATTAATACTAGGGCTGTTAATCGGTCCGTCCAGTCCATCCTAATTCAAAGACTAATGATCTTTTAGAAGATCAGATCAGACTGCAGTCTGGAACCAAATAAGACTGTTTAGAATTGGATTAGATGGACCGATTATTAGATTAATTAAGGGTATTCTCAAGCAATTCCCTCAATGTAATTTGTTAATTATCTGGTTGTTGCTTAATCATTGTGATTAATTGAATCGATCATTGTAATAATTTCATCAAAAATTCATTGTGCGAAAATTGGAATTTCAAATTTCAGCCAATTAAAGTAACTATATGAAAAAAATTAATATCTTTAGCTTCCAGATTTAAATATATCCTAATTGATATTTAAAATTTATAGTAAAATATAGTAATTATATCCAGTTTGGAATTCTAGTTATATCAATTCCAGACACCCTCTCAATCTGTTTAACAATATCTGCTAGTATATCGCGTCTATAAACCTATGAATTAAATGAAAATGATTAATTTGACAAAATAGGAATAGAACTGCCTTAAAATTTTCTTAGCTATTTAATTCAACCTAATTCAACTCAGAATTATAAGGGTAATTTTTGTAGTTAAATGGTTCCAATCCTTATAACAAAACAATATCAAACCTTTAGATAAGATACTGATTTGATGAAATTGCAAAGATTTGCTTTCGGTATTTCAATCTTTGCTCTTAGGCCCTACTGATATTCTACATGGTCTTTATTCGGATCTATCTAGTTTTTCAACCTATAATAATTGGTAAGCACGATCAATTTTTTCAGCTAATCAAGTTATCTAGTAAACCTAATAAAGAAGGAGTTTGAGAATAGCCTACTAGTAGATATATTGTATAATTAATAATATCTAATATTAGAACTGATAGTCTTTACAATCCATCCTAAGAAGGACTGGACTGATTTGATTCTTGGATGGACTGAAGAACCAATGGTCTGAACTGGATTGATTAACAGCCCTAATTAATACATATGAGGTTAAAGTGATATTAATCGATTATTTGATATATATCGATTAGTATTTACTTCGATATATATCAATTAGCGATAAATATCGATAATTATTTTTTGATTATAATTGATTATCGGATTTGTATCGATTACATTCAATATTGATATAAATCGATATTTGATATATTGCGATTATTTTTGATACATATTGAAATTTCTAAATCAATACATATCGATTAATTGCTATATATCGATTGTTATCTATCTATAAAATTTCCTGATGATTATAACATGCCAACTCTAGTTTGAGTAGTAAGAAATTTGTTAAACCAGAAGAATTTTTGTTTATATAATATTTTAATGCTTGTCTGAACAAATTTTCATATATGTAATTAATATTTAAGATTACCAAGAGTTTTTCTACGAATTTCATAGCATTCTACTGGTGCTTTATTTTGAATTTCTTTATGCATCCTGATATTATGATCACCTAAATGTCTAAACAGCATAATTATTTTAGAAATTACTAGCTCAACTACATTTCTACTATAGCTAAAGGAAGAATTGAATACAGTAATTTTCTGGCTAGTAGCAGTTTTTAAATCAATTTGACTAGTATTGGTACAAAAACAACTAATCACAAGGAGTTTTTTTACTTTTAAGAGAATATTTTTGGTAAGTTTGGTTTTAGATTGAATCTCAACACAATATATAACACAAATTTTTACTATAAGAATATCTTCTGAAAGAGTTTCTGAATGTGTCTCAACCTTTTTTTTAAATATAAATGTTATTATACTGAGACTTAATTAACATGTACGGTATAAGTTATATTATACTTATCTGATATTCTTCTAAAGTTAGAATATCAATTGCGGCTTGGTTTACATTATCTAATAACAAAACTTTAATATTATTAGTAATTATTAGTAAATTCGTTTAGATGACAATTATGCTGGTTTATTTGCTGTTATATTTCATAGTATAACCTTTATATACTTTAGAAAATTAGGTAGCACAAATCTAACTGATGAAATACTACTTATCAAAAATTCTACTTATCTTCTAATAAAAGTAATATTAGAAAATTATTACTATTTCTTTTTAAGAATAGCATTTTTCTTACTAGATCTGGTGCAAGGCGAGTTCTTCTTGCTGAGATATAGGCTTCAGTATTAGAAAACAAATATTCAGATAGGACCGATATCGCAAATATAGACAAATATTTTCGAGCAAGCTGATAAAGCAATGGAAAACTTGCTTGTCTTTCTTCCTACCACACTAAAGGGTTTTAGTGTTTATATGCAATTTGCTCTCTCAAGTATCTTTCTAGTTCATCTTCAGTTGTTGTAAGTGAAGTAGGTATCGAATGCGAACCTCATAACTCAGCACTAAAAGAATCACAATTCTCTTCTATAGTACTTGACATACTTTCTGTATCACTATAATTTTAGCTAACTAGTTTTGCTTTTAATGCTAATAATTCTGCATGAACTTGTGCTTCAATATTACTTCATTCTTCAAGAATAGCAAACAGAAGTAATTTTAACCTCTGTGGATCTAATAAACATACCTTTAATCCAATTTCACTAGGAATGTCCCATAATTCATCAAAAGACAAATAAATTGTAGCACTTATTTTTTCCAAAAGTCCATCACAGTTTGTGGGGGTAAATACTTTACTGTATTTGAATCATCCAGTTCTTCTCTATTTTTATCACACTTCTTATATTTTTTCATATAAGTTAGTTGTGTTTATGACCATAACCTTGGTTATGCATACTTCTATAGGCATACTGCTATTGTTTCCTATTCCTAGATGATGGAATATCAGCTTCATCACTACTACTAATATCTGATTCATTATTTGAATCTTCTGAATCATCATGAATTAGGGCTATCCAATCTTCTATGAATTTACTATTCATAGCTACTGGTGCATATCTATTTTTTAGCATACAAATATAAGAATATATGAGATTCATAATAGAGTATTTGGCACCACAAACATGTCTCATTATTTCTTCGCAAGGATTTAATATCTCAACTATTTCTTCAAGTAATCTTAATATAAAAAATGTTATTAAACAAATAATAATAGGCTAGGTGCTAAGAGAAAGAGAATTCATCATTTTTTTTTTTTTTTTTTGTACTTTGTTTTATAGTAATTAAAGTTAATTTATAATAGAATAAATTTTTTTAATACAAAACAAAAAAGTAGTTATATA